ATGTATAGTTAGTCTAGTCCCTTGCTTCCATGAGCACTGTCGAGGCTGAATGGTACTTCTCATACTTGGAGAGAGAGAGAGAGAGAGAGAGAGAAAGAGATTCTTTAATTATAGGGGTTTGAGAGCAGAAAGAAAGGTCGATCAGTGTCGGCAAAAGATAAATGTGGTCAGAGCTTGTACTTGGAAGAATGATACATCATCCTGGATCCTAGGGTTTCGACATGTAAGTAATAAATATATATGAACACAGTCATGTACAGATAATAATTGTGGGTATAAAAAGGAAGAGAAAAAAAAAAAGATTTGGTGTAATGGAATGTGTCAGTGATCGTTGCTCGTGTGCGCCTTTTCTAGTTTTTGTCTCTCTCCTGCATCTCCTTCTTCTAACACTTGTCTGGCTTTGCAAAATTAGTAAGCGAAGGTGGTGATAAAGTAGATGGATTTGATTTGATGGGCTCAGTTTTGTTCTTGTGGAACTCGCTCTCGATGCCATGGATCTTTCTTTATTCCATTTTTTAATCTACTAATTGAGGTTCAGGACCTTTTTTAACCCCTCTCTTTCTCTCTCTCTCTAGTTGAGGTATCAGCATTTTATTAGGTCATATTTTTGGAGCTAGGGCACGTACATGGCATGTTTCTATTATTGTTAAAGAGTGATTTCCGTACGGCTCCTAAAACTTTAGGTAAAGTATGGAATGCAGGTGGTACAAATTACATAAAGCTGGTCAAGTCACTTGATTTTAATTTTTTAAAAAAAAATTGTTTTGGTCAGGTCGAGTTAAGGATTTTTTTTGTTAGTGCCTTGAAGCTTGAGGTACAAGCCTGCTAACGAAAAAAATTTAAAAATAAAATGAAATTCAGGTTTACGTAAGGAATAATTTTGGGCAAAAAAAAAAAAAAGTTGATCTTCTTTGTAATTTTCGTCGAAACATTTTATATTTTATCTAAAATTTCAAAATCCGTACGTAAACAACTCTTTTTGTTATCACATTCTTAAAACCCTTTTTGTTATCACATTCTTAAAACCGATCTAAAATTTTAGAGTCTGTACGTACATAAATTACTCTTATTGTTATTACATTCTTAAAACCGAGAAAGGTGCTGTAAAACTATAGGAGTAACTTCTTGATGAACAGGATAATTAAATTTGGATGCTAAGAATTAAAATTAGTTATTGAAATTAGGAATGCTCAACTCCACCAGACAATTTAGTCTCCTCCAAGTTTCTTGCAAGTGAGGAGTCTTGATTGGGACTAACTTGGTTTGCTTATGCTCGCCCCCCCCCCCCCCCGTAAGGTGAATATTTCAGGAAAACTCAACTGCATCAGATAATTCAGTCTCCAAGTTTCTTGTATTTGATATGAGCGACTCTTGAATGGACTCTGTCGCGTAACTCGGTCGGCCTGCCCCTATAAGGTGAATATTTCCGAATTGTTCCAGGTGGGACGAGTTGGAGTTTGGTGAACAATTCAGTAGTATAAAAATTTTTAAAAAATCTTTTTGTATAAACTTTTTATAAACAGTGATAGGTATGCTTTTTACTACAATCAACACTTTATTTATTTTTAAGATTTTTTAAGAATTTGAATTTTTAAATGAATTTTTTGTATTTTTGTTTTACATCTCAATTAATTTTTCCGGTCGTTTTGTTTTTTAGTTTTTCTAGTTGTTTTTTTTTTTTTAAACTTCTCTAGGGCCTAAAAGCTTCACCTTCGATTGGGCCGAGTAACACCCTCAGCTAGGGAGGGGTGTGTGTCCCCCGGCCTAGGCGAGATTTTCTCTTTTAGAATTTTACCTTGAAATTCTTTGTCAAAAAAAAAACAAAAAAAAAAGGAATTTTACCTTGATATCTGGTTTGACTAAGCGACGAGACTCGACGAGTTAGTTGGACTTAGATATAATTTCCTTTTTGACAAAAACTCACTTTGTACCACCATTGCGGCCCTTTAAAGGTTCTCTAGTGAATTGTGGCTAAATAATCAGAAGACCACGTATGCTACGCTCCTTCGAGTGTGTAGTTCATTACTGCTACTTCGCTATGATCTATTTGGAGAGGTTTACCAATCTGAAATTTTAAACACCCACCTTGGTGATTGTTCTTAAGAGAATAAATTTAAATATGAGGTTTTTTTAAACATTTAGATATTATCCTTTTAAAAAATTGAGAAATTATGTTTTTCAAGTATTTAGGAGGAGGAGATTTTTTTTGTTGAGACTGGTCCATATGTTAAAGTGGTTATATACCTAAAACTTCGTGTCCTAAAATTATTGGTGTACAGCGTTTGACCCGAGGGAGTAGATGGAAAGTATAGTCCCAAAGAGTAGACTATCTTTTGGATGCTGAGATAGGCATTCCATAAGGAGTTCACGAAATTACGAGAAAAGGAAAACAAAAAACACAAGAAACTCTTTAAAAAAAGTATATCGGAATGGAGTGCCACTTGCTGCTTAACTTGAGTTTGCGGCCCAATTTTTTTTTGATTATTTACTCTGAAAATATAAAGGGCAAATAAGTGTCACTCAAATAATACAAAGCATTTTTCAAATAAAAAAAAGATGGTTTCTAAAGTGTAGCCATCAAGGTGGGGGCATCTCACATCGGACAGCTCTACGGACGACACCGAAGCAAATACATATACCTCTCACCGTGAAGCCGTGAGGAATCTGAAATCCCCACACGGGTCCACCACCTTCTCTTTCATTCTTTTTTTTTCTTTCCTTTTCTTTTTCTTTTTTTCTTTTTTTTTTTTTTTTGTTTTTTTTTTTTTTTTTTGGGAAACACAGAAAGTATGTATTTTTAGAGAACGATGAAGCAGAAAGAAGAAAGGTAAGGGTGGCAACGGGTCGGGTCGCATAGGACCCAGATCCGGATCGAGACTTTATCCTGATCGGATTCAATTTAAAAATTAAAATATCCATACATTTAATTATATTTAAATATAGTTAATATATTGGGATGCGAAAAATATTGTCGGACCTGGACTCGGCCTACTAGGTCCAATTTTTAGGCACATACTCGGATCAGATATACCCTTTAGGTACTAGGTTGGGTCTAGGTCCGCTACCCCTAAAGAAATAATGGTGCACTACAATTATCTGCTCGGACTTTGACATATCAATTTTCTATTGGAAATATATCAATTAAATATGGTCAAAATTTATAACATTATGTGCACGGATTCGAAGTATTAATTTGTAATGTAAAATATCGGAAAAATATTATTGAAGGAGTTGAATTCCATACAAAATCACAATGTTACAATTTATGGTTTAGGGTTCATTGAAATTTTAATTTAATTTTTCAAGTTAACCCTATTCAGGCTTAGAAAACCTGATAGGGGTAATGTAGAAATTTATAAATTTTTGTTTTGAGATTTAAAAATAATCCCTCAAATGTTAACCACTCAGTGAGTTTGTCAGCTGACCAAAATAAAAGCGAGGAGCTCTTCCCACTTTCTATTGGCTGGGCTGGCAATGGACTGGGGTGGCCCGCCATTTAAAAGTAGGTCCTGAGCACAAACTGTGGCCCGAGGGCCCGGCTAGGGCCACTACTGTTTATTTTCTCTTGTTTTCTTCTTTTATAATTGCTTCTTTTGTTTTCAGCCTAGCTGGGCCCTAATAGGGCCAGGGCAGGCCCTACAGGGACAAGGGCCTGGCCGGGGACAAGGTTAGCATTGCCTATTGCCACCCTTACTATTGGAATTTATAAATGGCAAAAGTTTATATAAGTTGTCCACCTGATACTATGCATGTAAAGCGCACTTCTAAGTGGGAAGATATGGTTTTGATGTACTTATAAAATCTTCTTGTCCCCTAACTATGAAAGTAAAAATTCTAGAAACGATGCAAATTGAGTAGATTATATTTTTGTTGCAAGATGAATTGTTTTAAAGATTTCTTTATACCCCATATTTTGAGGTCCTGATCGAAACTTTCAAACCTTTTCTTCTACAGTATTTTAAAGGTGAACTTTACCTTCGTTTCTTTACAACATCTGCCGCCAAAATTTACTTCAATCCTCTGTTGATCTGTTCTTCACTCCTGCAATAAGTGATGTCCTCCATGTAAACTGTAATCTTCCCTTGGTTTAAAGACTGTTTATGTTTAAATCAGTTTCTTAAAATTTACTCGGATTATTTTAAGGAACTGACTGGGTTTTTATTTTAAGGAAAATAGTTTGATAGGGCTGAGCCCTATCAAAATAAGTAAATTCTCACCTCATAACTCATCGAAAATTGCAAGTTAAGCATTGGCAAAACCTTTACGTTGATCATCACGACGTGAACATTGTGGTTGTCAAAACAAATTAATATTTCAAGCTCTAAAAAGAGTGTATATTGTAATAAATTATCTAGACCGACCATTTTATTTAAAAATAAGTGTTCACAGATCCACAAGATCCGTACTTTTTTTTGAGTTTCAAACTTTATTATCGGTATTGAAAGTTGATTTTAGAGCCATCATAGAGATTTCTATTATTGAAAGTACTTTTGGCATAAGGATTTGAGGTGAGGCTTTATTTTGTTTTCATAATACCCATGCCTTATAGAAACCTCATCCCTATTTAAAATTAGAAAATGGTATGATTTTGATAAATTTATTTGGTATTGTCAAGAAATTTGGCGATTTTATCTGAAACTAGGCAATTCAAAGTGTCAATTAATTTTTCAGACT